CATATATAAAACTACATCAGTATATTTATATGCGTATATATATATAGTATATATATATATATATATATATAATATTCAAGAATGTGAGAAAATATAAAAATACCTCGTAACGAGATGAGAGGAAATCTCGACGCTAAAGAGACGATTGGAGACGAAAGGGAAGGAAATTTCAGGGTGTTACAGATCATACCACTTACCTTTTCCTTCGCTTATCGCTATCTTTCCCGATTCCCAAATCACGAGCCTTTTGGGCAGCCAGTTTTCCTGTACGGATTCATTCAAAACGCAAAGTTACGCTGAAGCTATTTCACGTTGAAATCTTAAATAGATTGAAACATTAACCTACCAAGCGATATCCATAACATCGAAGTTTCTAAGGGTAAATCGAGAATTAAACAAGAACCCATTAAAATTTTAAATAGGTTTATGCGTAGAGAAATTTGAATCAAGATGGTAAGGTAATTTGAATCAAGGCTCTGGACATCATCTATTGGACATCACCTAATTTACATTGTGGCGAATGTCACGTTTATCAGAGCTATAACTAAAGCCGGTTCAAGTAGGCTGGTCAACATACAATAGGTTTGATGCCTGAATATCAACAAAACAAATAATGATGTGTGGTAAGTCATAATATAAACATACGCAGAATGAACAATGCAAAAACACCAAGTTCAACTCCTTATAGCAACATCGACTCTAGAACATGGAAAACCAACATTTAAAACATCCATAGGAAGGAATTGGCTGGAGAAATCTTTGTATGTGGCTCTTGATACGAGATTAAATAAAAAGAAGCTCATGAATCATTACCAAGCATTATGATGATGCAATGGTATGATTGTTGAGCATGCATCTTCTATTGACAATATGCTGCAAGTGAAGATTAAATATCAAGAAAACCTTAATTTCTCACCTTTTTTAGCATTGCAATGAAATGACCCTGAACAAACTTATATGAGCTGTAAGAGCTCCTCAGAAAATTACAATGAAAAAACTAAAGATTCATTTCCCTCTTACATCACTCCAGAAAACAGAAAATGGAGATCCCTTTTTTCTCCTTAACAACTATGCAAATCTACAACTAATCTACAACGGGATCTCTACAGGCAGGTGATATTACAAAGGCTTTTTGCTCTATCATGACAATAAGCCTAACTGATGAATAAAACAAAAATATGTATGTGTGATCCATAACCTAGCACACCATGTCTCCATTGCCAAATAGAAAACTTATAACACGGAATGAATGAACAAAATGTCTCTCTAATATTCCAAGTCTGGCATTGTTTTCAATACAATTCTGTTACAGTCACTTCTAGCTTCTAAGTTTGAGATCCCGTTACCAAAAGTAATAATAAACCTAGGTTCATAATCAGCAAGATGTTCGACATACAAAGTACAAACATCTAAAAAAAACTTCAGTCAAGCATAATCACGAATTCATGAAAATTGAAAAAGAACACTAAAAAAAGAAGTTAATACCGAGGAGCATGAGAATGTTCAATCTGGTAATAACCAGCGTGATGACCTAAATCATCAACAGATATGCCATTTGGATCGACTAAATTGGGGAACTTAAAACGCTTCTCAACTATCTTATTCTGTTGAAAACTCGACGATCGCAACCCATCATCGTCCTCAACGATGTTGATCGAGCGTTCTGGGAACAAATTAAAGTCCCTGATCATCTTCTTGGCTAGAGTCGATGGAAAGCTAGTGAAGTGCAGGGTTTGATGATGGAAAGGGAAAGGAGCGAAGAAGAAGGGAGTGCGTGTTACTTGTGTCTTGTGCGGAAGAAATGGTGACGCGTTGCTTTTCTTCGTAAGAAACTGCGGACCATCAAAAATGAATCAAGAGGGTACCTGAATCAAAGAAGAGCCTGGAACCTATGAGAATATGAATCGAAAAACCCTAAATTAAAAATGGGCCTCAACGATAGAGAAAGCAGAAATCGATCATAGAAAAGAGGATCGAGAATGGGAAGAGGAGAGCGTGCGATGGGCAGAGTTGCCTTGGGAAGAGGAGAGCGTGCGATGTCACATTGGGAGTATGAGTTGAGAGGATGGAGAGGCGGGAGGATGAATAGACACGCATGAGAATTGCCTTGGGCAGAGTTGTCTTGGGAAGAGGAGAGCGATGTCGTTTGGAGTGGTATTAAAGGGTAGTACTTTATGCATATTAAATTGTTTTTAAGACTAAAGGGGTATTTTGGGTATTTATAAATTTAAGACTTTAAGACTTTGAATGAAAATGCTTAATAAAGTAGTATAGATAAACTAAAATAGTACTCGCACAATACAACGAGATATATCTCGATATTAGTACTTTGTTTTATTTTTTTTTTAACTTTGTCAATGTTATAATATAGTTTTATGTAGTTTTGAGAAAAATATAAAATTGAAGACTTTATAAAAATTTGAAAAGAAAATATAAAAGTTTTAGTTTTTTTTGTGTAATTTCTTTAATTCAATTTTTGATATAATTTAATTTAGGTTTAATAACAAAGTTATTTATTTTTGGTTTAATAATATTTTTTATAAAGGTAATAATTAAGTATTTTATTAGAACTCAATGATTATCCTAATTATATTTTATATTTTTTATATTTAAAATGAGAAGTTTATCTTGTATTTGATTATGTTTATCTGCATTTAGTTACATGAATTCAAACATGGAGTTTTAATAAGTTGTATTATGCAGAATTAACTTGTAATCTTGAATTTTAAGTAATATATGTTAATTAACAGCACTTCATGTATAAAAAATGGTTTTTAAGAGATTTTGCCAAATGCTTTATAATATAGTATAAATGATTTAGACAATTAAATAAAGTAGAAATACAAAAATCTTAAAATTAAAGTATCATTTTATAAATATCAGAATATTAATAAAAAGTATTGTTGGTGAATTATTATGCAAAATTTGATGTTTTATTATTCATAACACTAAAATACGTTATTCATATCAAAATAAGTGTATATATTTCTATTTTTTATTTACTCAATTGCTGCTTACTTGAAGAAATAATTTCCACATTTCTACTCTATCATTAATTTATGAGGTAAAGAAAATTTACCTCTCTATTATAAAACCGTTGTTTAAAAAAATGACATAATTATATATTCTTAAAACTCTATCTTTCATCGTAGACATTTATATTGGGACGAAAAAGTAATGAAAAAAAATATGCATTCACTGACGAGAAAAACATAAAAAATCTAAAATACCCCTCAATTAACAAATTATTTAACGTCAACTAAATGGAGGAACCAAATTCACATATTTTGCAAACCACAATAGTCAGCTTGTAGTTTCGAACTATAGAGATGAAAACCGTTAAAAATGACAAAAAGTATGAACAGGAATATTGTTGTTTACTCACTTTTTTATTAGTAAAACTGTAAATTTGCCATTTTTATTTCTATAGGTCAGCCTGATTTATTCTTTACGGCTGCAACTATATTTCGATTCATCTTGTTTTTCAAAGGATTTCATAACTAAACATTGAACCATTTCATATGATCGGGATAAACGGAGAAAAATAAACGTTGCACCGTAATTTTAAATTAGAAAAGAGATTTCAAAAAATTACATCATAGTTCACAATTTCTAATCTAGAAAAAAGATTTATTTCGTTTAAATAATAACCGACCCGGATCATATGTATCTTGGATAGTAATAGTATTCGTATGTCAGTTAAACTCAACGGCCCAAAAGCCCAACTTATTTATGGATTGGGATTTGGGAATCCCGGACCGGACCTCTTACCCCCGTTCCGTATAACCGTATTCAACCGTAGACCTCCGTATTCCACACCTGCGCCACCATTAACTAGATTGTTTTCCGATGACAGTCGGAGTTTCAGACGGCGGAATGGACTCTCACACAAACAAAGACTTAAAATCTAAGGAGGGCAACAACCAGACGTCCAAGAAATCGCGCGAGGCTGAACGCCGTCGGAGGCGGCGGAAGCAGAAGAAAAACAAGCCCCTCAGTCGAGACGAGACGGGCAGTAAAGTCGATGAGAATGGTGATGGAATTACCGGAGACGATAGCGGAATACAGAACTCCAATCCTCAGAAGGTATTGCCTAGTCTGATTTGCATCTTAGGGTTTACGACATTTTCAATTGTCCTGTTTTTTCAAACTAGAAATTCAACTGGTTTTCCTCAATCTCCAGGTTGCTACTTGTTCGGGTTTTGAATTCACCATTGCTTTATGTTCCTCGGTCAAATACTGCATTCTTCCGATTGCTAGTCCAAATCAGTATTGGTTTTGAAATGACTTGAAAGTACAGTTACTAATGTGTAGAAGCTGATTGTGGCTTGGAAGTTGTAGCTGTATAATTAGGATTATAGTTGCTCAAGCCTCAAAACGGTTGTAGTGCTTTTGTATCATAGCTAGATAGAAAGTTCACAGAACAGCTATTTCCACGAGGGTGGCATATGTTAAGAAATTGATTTGTCACTGGTACAGCTGTACTTGAAACACTAGGTGGTTCCTGATTTCTAGAATGGAGCTAGACTGTTTGTTGGTCTGAGCTGGCTTGAACTTTTATCGAGTTTGGTGCTCATTTTGGCTTGAGATGATTGTATATTTGATCATTAGCATGAGCAAAGAGGCATCCTAAGTTGAGTCAATATTGTTATGTGTATGCGCTTAACTTGTTTAGATTAGGCATTTGGTGTGTAATTTGTGTAAGATGATATTATGATGGGGCTGTTTACCAAATTTTCAATTAAGCCCGGTATGGGTTAAGTTGTCTTACCGGATAAATTTGTCCATCTGGATAAACATTTGTTGTTGTTTACTTTTTTTTTCCCCCTGAATCAACAGTCTGGATGATGGAAATGACTGTTTTACCAATTCGTACAAAAAATCATCAGATTAGCAAATTTATCAAAAATTGAAGAAAAATCAACAGTAGGTGATCCAGATTCTAGAGGATACACAAATCGAAGAAAAACTAACAAACCCACATGAGGAAAAACCATTAAAAGACCCAAGTTTGAAGAAACTTCAAGTCGATTTTGGTGTTGCAGGGGAGTTCAAACAGGTAATGAAAAAACATCAACAAACCCACATGAGGAAAAACCATAAAAGATTGATGAAAGTGAATCCCAAATTTGAAGAAACTTCAAATCGATTTTGCTGACGCAGGGGAGTTCAAACAGGTCATTGCTTTTGGAGATTGGGGTTTCGATTTGGGTATTAGGATTTCGATTTTGGGGTTTTGTTCTTGGTGATGCATCGAAGTCAAGAGAGATGAGGAGAGAAGCAACCATTCGCCAAGGAGATGCAGGTTTTGGTCTTGGGTTTTTGTTCTTGGTTATGCGTCGAAGTCGAGAGAGATGAGGAGAGAAGCAACAATTTCGCGAAGGAGATGCAGGGTTCCAATTTCAGGAAGGAGATGCAGGTTTCAATTTCAGGAAGGAGATGCAGGTTTCAATCTCTGAAGAAGATGCAGATCTCGTTGGGAGAAAGAGACGCGCAAGTTTTTCTTTCTACAGAGGCCTTTTTTTATTCTATGGATAGAGAAGGTAAATTTTATGACTGAATGGGGACAAGAGAGCCTACCAGCTGTGCGGATAAGCCGGTATATTTTCAAAGTAAGCCCCAAGTACTATGGCTATGCGAATAAGCCGGTTAAGCCATTAAAACCCGTTAATTCACAAGTGAACAGCCCCATAGTGTGTCATGTGTACACCACTACATCCAATATACACATTCTTATTTCCCGCTCCTCTGTTGCGTGTGTGTCTATTTATCTGGCACTTTTTCTCCCCAAAATATATGATATATTGGGCTTTTTACTGAGAATAAGTAATAACTTTACTATATGCATAACTTTCAAGTTACTGAAATTTTGTGAATTGGCCTTCAGTGAGTGTGACACAAGTATGAGAAGGGGTGTGATCATTGTTGATTGTTTTCAAGGATACATTATTCTGTTTAAAAAAAGATCCTGATCAATGAGAAGAATTAATTATTTGGGACATTCTCAAAAAGAAAATGTCGTTTATTTCAAGGCGAAGGGGAGCAATGTCTATTTTTCTATGCGATGTACCGAAACAACTGATATGTTCTCCTACATTAGAAGGGTTCTTGAAGCCAAAAGACTTCTCTAACATAGAGATGACAATAATGAACCTAAGACTGTCTTATTAGTCGTTGGCCACTCAAATTAATACATAATCATTGTATCCGGTAAAGCCAAATGTCAAGTGCTCATGGTAAGTTAGGGGTTATACTCTTGCACCACATGCCTTTTTCTCTATCAAATTTCATATGCACCATCTATCTTGGGATGGAGGGAGCTTCCACTAAGCTATATTCTTGTCTATTCTTTTTAGCTAGCTGATTTTGTGCTGATTTTTGCTCATTTCTAGTCCACCTTCATTTTTTTGCATGTAGCTCGCTTGTTTGAGGACTGAGGTTTGTGTTAACTCCCAGTTGCTTGTGAACAACTTCATATTGACATAGTCAAAACTACAAGTGTCAACCGAGATTTGTTTGAGATCATTTAACCTAAGAAATTTTTTATTCCACTCAGGCTAAGAGTTGTAGCAAACTAAAGTGTGAGCTTGATGAACCATGTACTGGATTTGATGACAATCCCATTTTGTATACCAAAATATTGTTTTCGTTTACAATAGCAATGAAGGGTGAAGAAAGAGTTATTTTGGTGTTGTATTATCTGGCAACAAAATATATTGTCATTTATATGTAAAGGAAGAGTGGTTTTACCCTATGCTGTTAATTGCGGATAGCGGACACTAGCAAAATAACAGTGGTCAGATTGCGGTGACCGATATTTAGGGTCAGTTGCGTTCGATATTAACGTTACTTTTTGGGGGGGTTTTTGGGCTTTATTCTCAATCTTTGTTTTTGGATAGTTGGGCTTTATTTCTGGTCTTTCTGTTTTTGGGGTTTATTTTTCTTAAGTTTAATCCATTAACATAAGTTGGAAGAACTAGGTTTCTCTATCAACAACCTGTTTTAGTCTTTAAACTATCTGTTCTTCTGGGCTCTATTCGGCGATCTCATCTGCTTTAGACGACCACGACCCACGAGTCTCAGGCTCTCAGCTTCTGTTCCAGACTTCCAGCTTCTAGCTTCTGTTTCCAACTTCTATTTCCAGCTTCTGTCTCCAGGTACCACGAGTCTGGAGTCTGAATTCTTAATCTTGGTTGATAAGAAAATTGAAGCAGATTGGTCAATTAAACTCCCTCTGCTCCAACTTCTGCTCCCTCTGTGGATGCAAGAGATGGCCTCCTTTGGTCAGAAGTACGAGAAGCAACAGGAGGTAATGAACAAGTTGGGTCAAGTAACAAGAAGTAAAAGGGAGTGCTATAGGGATGATGATGATGATGATCACGTTGGAGATGAAGGGGGAGAAGGGGAAGGGGAAGCTAGCCTAAGCGAAGAAGTGAACGTATTAGATGATGTTGACTCAAATGCTGAACGTATTTTGCAAATGATATGTTTATGTAGGCATATTATATATATAATTATATATAATTCTAAGAAATATTATATGAACCGCTTTTTTTGGACCGCTATACCACCGCTATTTCAAATATCGGTCCCGACAGCAGTTTTGTATTTTCACCGCTATAACAGCATAGGTTTGACCTCAGACCTTGCCCACCTTATTTGTAAACGTGTTTTTGTAATTTTGATTGTCGGTTTCACTTATCCTGTGGTGAAGAATACAACAGTTTCATTTGTTGGGGGCATGATTCATGTATTTCTTAATTAATGAAAGTACATCGTATTCATTTAATTTAGGGTTACAAGCTGGTTTTCAAGTATGATATAGTTTTTGCCTGATGCTAACGTAAAGTGGTTTTATATTGCTTTGGTTTGCATGTCTATAACTCTATATCCATGATTCCTATATATCGAACGTCATACTGCTTAGTCACCTTGCACAGATAATGAACATTCATTTTGGTGTGGTGGTGTTGTAGCGATTATTAATTGTCTTGTAATTGTAAGGTTATGGAGCAAGTTGAAATAGAGTATATCCCTGAAAAAGCAGAACTAGATGGTGACTTGGATGATGAATTCAGAAAAGTGTTTGAGAAATTCACTTTTAAAGAATCTGCTGCTTCTGAGGTAAAAAGGGTTCTTATTCTCTCTTCATGACTAAAGATCTTAATGGCTTATTTCGTCTTAGTCTGAACTCATCCCTTGTTTTTTAATTTAATTCGTTCAGGAGAACGATAAGAGTGAAGGGGCTGCTGTCACTGCAGTATCAAATAAGAAAGCTAGTTCAGATTCAGAGGAAGAAGAACAAGATGACCAACAGAAGGAGAAAGGTGGCATATCTAATAAAAAGAAAAAGGTTATATTTTGGATATTTTGGGTGAATTTGTAGCCATTCTTTTTCTTGTCATTGATATCTTTGTTCTAATTTATTTCCTTGTGGGGACATTCTATTTAGCTTCAGCGCCGGATGAAGATTGCTGAACTCAAGCAGATTAGTTCCAGGCCAGATGTAGTCGAGGTGATTTTTTAGAGTTTCTTCATGTCAGCTCATGCTTATTGGTTGATTACTTGATTTTACTCTATCTTGGCTGACCTTAGTTGTTCGTCATTCTAATATTGATTTCATAAGAACTTGAAACGCCGAATTCTGCATGCCCATACCCAAGCATGTTCTGCTGAATAAAATTGTTTTTGATTAAATTTGTTCTTCCTCCTTCCTCTTTTTCTTTTCTTATCTTTTGATAATTTATATCAGAAGTGCTTCCTCCTCTCTTTTTTAGATTATTCTTCATCTATGGATTCTGGAAGCTTCTTGTTCTCTGCATTTTAAGCTGCTAAAGGTTCATAACTTCAGTGGACACCTATCTATCCTATATTATAGAGCATTTAGGTTTTACCTCTCAACTACTCTTAAATTTTCAAGAATATAAGTGTTAAAGCATTAAGTACAAATCAATAATCTATACAGAATCTTCAATGTTTATATTATTCCTATTTTACCCCTTCCGTGAACAATAAGAATGGAAGCTTGAAGTGTTTCTGGAAACTCATATTGCCCTTTCCATATGAAACGGATCAAGTTTTGGAAACTCACATATTTATCTCAATTATAAAAAAATCTAAATTATTTTAAATACAATTATTTTTATAATCAAACAAATTATATCAAAATCTATCTTCTCAATTTTTTAACCTGGTTTTCAAAATTTCAGTTGCGAGTATATTCACATGCGACTATATTCATACAATATTTTTACTATATTGTACAACATTTACAACTTAGGAGCTGGTTGATTGGTTTTCCATCAAGTCCTTTATGGATAAAATTGTTTGTGTGGATTAATCTCTATATAGATTGGGAAGGTTTTTGTTTGGGAGGGTCTTTTCATAGATAGAAGGAGCATCTTTTTTGATTGGGAGGGACATGTTTGGAAAAAAAAACTTTGCTTTCTGCATAAACTTCCCCCTAGAAGCTTACTAAATAAGCCATTTTCTATATCATTCAGCCACTACCAAATATATCATTTATAGCTGACCGAATAAGCTGAGTCCCATTAAGCTTTTTGAGCTGCTAACAAATAGGCCCTTATTACTACATACACATAATCTTATTAATATGTTTGAACTTTACAAACCTGACTCATAATCAACCATTCAATTGATAAACATGTTCAAATACAAGATAGATTGAGCTCTAGTACTACGGTAAAGAACTCCATAAAACTAATAACCAACGTAAGACTCTCGCTTTCAAAGCCATGCAAATTCATAAAATAAAATCAAGATTGCCGAAATAGAGATGTATTACGCTGCAGTGCACGGGCACACTTCTAGTTCTCTCATAATTAACGAGGATCATTCGTTGATTATACATGTAATTTACAACTTGCTAGTCTCATCATGCAGTCATGTCTGATTTGTTAATGGTGGTCATCTGTTGTCTCACTGCACTAATGCCTGTGCATATCATTGTCTTTAGTATGCCAGTCATTTTATTTGCATCTTTATCACCAGCATTATCAGTTAATGATTCATTTACATGAGTTTCAGGTGTGGGATGCTACCTCAGCTGACCCTAAATTGCTGGTTTTCCTCAAATCATATCGCAATACTGTTCCAGTGCCAAGACATTGGTGCCAGAAAAGAAAATTTTTACAGGTGATTCATCAAATAAGAAGCAATTGTTGTGGGAAAAATATGTTGCATCCACGGGTGTATATACCTTGTTTTCTATGAGAGCAAATACTTGTGCAGTAGACTTGAAAAATGAGGGATGCAGGGAAGCGGGTGATGAAAAATACGTTGATGAGGTTTGTCTTATATGTATATATGTGGTTCTTGCAGGGGAGCGGCTGTGACAATCTTGGAGCCTGGACATGTAGGTGTTTTTGCGAATGAGACTTTTAAATGGTTACTGTTGATATATTTGCTAACGGGGGTTGGGAACTTGTATGTTGCCTTAAACTAAAATAAATAACAATGCACTTTGCATGATACACAATGGGGACTATTCATCTGTGCAATCTGGATGCTGATTATTTGGTTTTGCATTTCAGATATTTCTGCACTGCATAGTGCAGAAGCTTTTATACAGATATGACAAAAACAAACTCTAGTCTGTTTTGGTTTCTACTTTCTAGCAGTGTCATAGACAGTCAGTGTCCTTTTTTTAAGTGTAGGATTGTCTTATTTATTTCTATGCTGATTGACTTGGATCTCATCCAGTTTTGAATTTGTGTGGCAGGGGAAACGGGGTATTGAGAAACAGCCATTTCAACTTCCTGACTTTATTGCTGCCACAGGAATTGAGAAAATTAGACAGGTAAGATAAGATCTTGCGACTCCTGTTCTGTATAGCAAGTTTTGCTTTTAATTGGCTACAAAATATATCTCTAGCCTAACATATTATGCTTTCATGCTCTGTGCTTTTTACATTTAGAGCTGTTGGTTTTTATGAGTGCAAATTTTTGAAATATTTGCTCTTAAAAGATGGACACTTGTTCCTTGAATGTTATGACCCTGCCTACTCATCACCCATCTCCTACAAATACGCATAAATCCTCTAATGTTATATATTGTTGGGTACATAATAGATGAGAAAACATCATTAGAAGGGAATATGCAAACTTAAATTTAATAGTTAGAACTTTGTGAGTGACAAATTGCAAGTTACAACTAATGAACGAGAAGAAAAGCAAAGAGCCATGTCCTTTTCATTTGACTTATTTTCAGAAGTCAGATGTTCTCTGATTTAGGCCTCTGGGAACTATTTGTTGTTTTGAATAATTTTGTAGTTAATGCGAGACAACAATGGAGGAAAAGAGAATGGATAGAAAAAGATAGAAAATAATAAGGCTTAACTAACTGGTCCTTCAATTTCTTTCTTTTTAATTGTTTATAACCATTTAGAAATGAAATAAATTTTGGAAGTAGAAAGTCATTTTACTTTTCAAAGCAAGCAAATTGAACCAAGACAGTTTTGGGTCCCCAAATTTCTTCTATGTTTTTGGGAAATAGGGAAGTCTAAAATTTCCTTTCATTTTTGTTTCCTGTTCAACTTATAAGCTCAGAAAAAGCTGTTCTGTTTCGTTTCACATCATTCTTTTTCCTTTCCAAGTTGTCATCCTTACAAACTACAAACAAGGTGTCATGTATTTCTATGAGGGTTAATATCTCCCAACTAGCCTACTGAATTGTTTATTTATCTATTACCATGTATCCAATTTTAAAATCTGGTCTATACCTCCCCTAATGCGCCCCTACAATCTCCCATTTACCTAGTGCATTTGGAGATACCCCATCATATCAAACACTGTCTTCTTGTTTCCTCTCGCTTTGGTGTCACTTAACCTGTACCCAGTCATCAACTTCAGACATGTGCATTTTCGCTACACTGATCATATGTGTATCTATTAGTTGACAGCCCAAGTGTTTGAATTTTGATTCATAGATCGCAATAAGTCCCCAGTTGAATATTGAGGGTAAAACCTGAGGTAGACTGTCCTTTTCTTCAATAAATGCAACACAGTTCTTTTCTTCACCGAACAGGCCTGCCTACATCCCACCCCCACCCTGCATTCATGCGGGATATTCATTTGGTTTAGTTGGTTCACTTTTGAGTTTGAGCTCAAATGCAATATGCCGATATGGAGAAGAAAAGGATGTCATATACATAGCCGTTTCCTGCAAGCAGTGTGGCTTTGTTCGTAATTCAGACATGTGACCTCTGGTTTGCAAGGATGCAATCTTATCACTGAGCCAGTAATTAATCCCACAACATTCTCTGTCAAGAAAGAGAATAATCTATAACATTTTCTTAGGGAAGGTGGTGGAAGGAGGACCAAGGTTGCTTTTAGTTCTATGGCTATTGCAAATTAAAATGATGACAAGTGGCATATACCTAATAATCTCAAATTAATTATCCAGTGATTAAGATTGAAAGAATGAACTCATGAAGCATCTCCAACTGTCTTTAGTTCATCGGGGTAATATATGTGGCTCCATTAACATAAGAATTCTATGACATTGTTGAAACTTCGGAGGTTGAACTTTTATCTTGCTGTTTTTTGCAGGCTTATATTGAAAAGGAGGATAGTAAGAAGCTTAAACAGAAGCAACGTGAGCGAATGCAGCCAAAAATGGGAAAGATGGATATCGATTATCAGGTTTATTCACTTGATTCTTGTGTAATACATGGGATTATAGTGTATCACTGCTACTATGTTTGTGGAAAATATATGCTTGCTGGTACTTTTTTTCAGTTTCACTTCTAAGTCTGGGGTTTTGACATCAATCCTGAAATTGATTTGCAGGTACTCCATGATGCTTTTTTCAAATACCAGACTAAGCCAAAATTGACTTCACATGGTGATCTCTATCATGAAGGAAAAGAGTTTGAGGTAACATACCCTTTTATCTTCACTACCTTGTAAATTTATCGGAATAATTTGGGCGAGGAATGATGTCATGTAGCCTTAGTCACTTGCCAGACAGTGTTAGACGAGATAGAGGGACTAACAAGGGCCAGTTCTCTTTAAAGTAAAAACAACAGCTTGTTTGGATGTATGTTCTCTTACCTATATTAGCTCTCGGGTTGGGGCATCAAATTTATCCATTGGACCCTTATCCTGAGATAAGGTGTTAATTCAATGGCAAGACATGGCCTAGCCTCTTGGATGACAATCTTGCCTCATATTTGGTGCCTATTGTGTAATTGTCTTAAGATTTTTGTGCTCAATTAAGCGAGCTCTTTTTCCAGATAGCTAACCACGGATACAAATTTGCACCTATTCATCCCTATGGATAACATATGGATGTCAGGCATGTTTGTCCTACTTGATCAAATTTATTCACTTGCTGACATCCACTTCATGTCATGAACCAATGTTTTTAGATCTGAACCTTGTCTTACTTTTATTCAAAAGGCAGCATGCACTCTAATAATTGCCTAACACCACTAATAGAAGTATACATTCTTTTCAATCAAATGGTAAGGGAATATTTGATCATCCAGTAACCATTCTTTCTTAAATGGTGAGGTGCAATTCATGACAATATGATGTTTATGGCATTCATAATTGAACCTACTTTACGTTACACAGGTAAAACTTAGAGAGATGAAGCCAGGTACCTTATCACAGGAACTAAAAGAAGCGCTGGGAATGCCAGAAGGTGCTCCTCCCCCATGGCTTATTAATATGCAGGTGGGTGCTGCACTTACATTTGTTCTGCTACATGTTAAACAAATATCTCTATTCATCTTAAGGATTTTTATTCTTAAATAAGCCTCAAAAGGATGACAAGTATGTTGGCTATTATAAGATATCGTGTCTGAGCTTTGTGTAGTCTGATTAATGACAACTTTAATTTCCAGAGATATGGTCCTCCACCTTCTTATCCACATTTAAAGATTCCAGGATTGAATGCTCCTATTCCACCTGGGGCTAGCTTTGGTTATCATCCTGGTGGTTGGGGAAAGCCACCTGTTGATGAGGTAGGTTATTCATTTGACATGGTCTTATCTACTTTATTCTATTTCATGCTAGCCTCTGAATTTTATCTTTGTTTTCTTGTTGCTGAAGTTTGGGCGGCCAGTCTATGGGGATGTTTTTGGGCAACAAGAAGAACCACCCAATTATGAGGTACTTACATGTTGCCTTCTTTTTTGTTATATGTTTGCAGGCTTGTTTTGAAGTAGAATTTTCATGGTAATAGATGGTTTGTAGCAAGTTAGAAGAGCAAGTATTTAGTAACAAGTTTTTTCTTCCTTTGGTTAGAATGCTGAAAGTATATGACTATATGTTACTTTGATGGATGTGTACTTCCACATCATCTCATTGGCATCTCTAAATGTCAATTCAGGAAGAGCCAGTCGATAAGAGTAAGCATTGGGGTGATTTAGAGGAAGAAGAAGAGGAGGAGGAGGAAGAAGAAGAAATGGAAGAGCAATATGAGGAAGAGGAATTGGAGGATGGCATTCAGTCGGTTGATAGTCTCTCTAGGTATCACATATCCCTTCTATTTGCCTACAAATTTTACGGTTATGGTTTTCAGCACAGAAATGCCTCATGTTTCAAATAATTGGTCACCCATCACCACTCAATCACACTGGATGTTACAGTTGCACATATGACATAGGTATAGGCATGTTTTTTTCTTTTCTTCTTGAAAGTGGGATGAACTTATAATTTGTGTATTATTCAGTACCCCAACTGGCGTAGAGACTCCAGATGTGATCGACCTTCGCAAACAGCAAAGGAAAGAACCTGAGAAACCGCTTTACCAAGTGAGTGTGTTCTCCATTTAACTAACTACTTCCTTTTTCTTCCAAATTTATAACTGAATAGTCTTATTTTATTTATTGCACTGGTACAGGTGTTGGAAGAAAAAGAAGAGAAGATAGCTCCAGGAACCTTGTTGGGAACAACACATACGTATGCAGTCAAATTCCTTATCAACATGAATAATATTTTTAGCAATATCTTTGTTGTCTTTTCCTGAAATATTTTGACACCTTTCTTTTCTGGCATCAGCTACGTGATAGGTGGTGCCCCACAAGACAAGCCGGCAGGCAAAAGGGTATTTGTATAAATGATAATTTTATGATGAAAGAAATGATGTATGTGTGGGTTTGGAATTGAATAATATGCTATTGGTTGACAGGTTGATTTGCTTAGAGGTCAAAAAACAGATAGGGTGGATGTGTCTTTACAGCCTGAAGAGTTGGAGGCAATGGAGAATGTGTTGCCTGCCAAGTGAGTTTTGTCAATCATACATACATACATACATACATACATCCGTCATTATGAGTTATATATATATATATTTCTTTTTGTGTTTGTTAGATATGAGGAAGCCCGTGAGGAAGAGAAGCTGCGTAGTCAACGGGAAGACTTCAGTGACATGGTTGCAGAGGTGTGTTATATTTATTTTGAATTTTCAAACATTTAAGAAAGAAAACAAGTTTTGAATTATTATTAATATATGTGACAGAATGAAAAGAAGAGGAAGAGAAAGATGCAGGAGAAAGACAGCAAGTCAAAGAAAAAGGATTTCAAGTTTTAGGACACAAATGCTGCATGTATTATGAGGTACTGTGATTGATTATGGTAAAACTAGAATCTGCTGACATGCTTTCTATGAAATATACAAAAACCAACTTCACTCTGCTCTTCCTTCACATTTTTGCCTGTCCATTGTATGTATGTGGACAAAAACAGACTATGATTGGTACATGTGTCTGGACAAAATCGCTGAACTTATCTTACATGTTTGGGACAGAAATGGGATAAAAGTAAAAACAATTACCAATCTACCTTCATTTGATACAACCCTAATATGGTATTTGGTTTAATGTTAATCACAAACCATCGCCTCTGCCGCCACCTCTATAATCACCACCATCGGCTATCACTATAACCGTCTACCACTACCTCCATATACACCACTGTTTGCCATGTTTACATCGTCCATAACCACATCTACCACAACCTTTGTTGATCACAACCACCACTATCACCATCACTTCCAACTCTACCTCTTCCACAACCACCACCCCCACCTTTATATCCACCACTGACGGTTGCCACCACCATAACTAGTAATCATCCACGATAGGTGGTTAAGTTGACATACTAACCCGATGCATATGGCCTATTCATTAGACCTACCTATTTGCTACGGATGCTCCATGGTATTACTAGTGCATTATCATCGTCCATCATCTCCACGTCCTCCATAACCGCCGTTTCTACCACCACCACCACCACCGTTTATCAGATATCGCTTATAAGATAGAACCATATTATCCCTTCCCATCCTGGATGGTGATTGAATAAGCCATTATATATATATATAGGGGTCCATTCAAGAGAGAACTGACTAGTTTGTGGTAACCGTGAGATCCAATCTCAACCACAAATCAATAGATAAATTAGGAAATTTATAATTTTGTTAATTTTTAATTAAAATTATAATGTAAGGACATTTTAGGTATTTTCTCTCTCTCCTCTCTTCTCTCTCCTTCCCCGTCTTCCGGCCACCGTCCTCCGGTGATATCACAATGTGATACTCAAGCACATATAAGATGTATTGTGATACCATTGTGTTACATATCCGATCGACCGCACAAACGATCACAATGTGATACGCAATCACATATAAGATGCATTGTGATACCACTGTGGTATCACCGGAAGACGATGGCCGAAGGACGGAGAGAGAAGAGAGGAGATGGGAGAGAAAATACCTAAATATAAATAAGCCATTATCATATATATATATATATATATATATATATATATATATATATATATAAAAGGTGTAAGTGCGGTTAAGATGTCACCAAAGAGATCCCAAGTGAAAAGAGGTACTTTGGTTTTTTAGTCTTAATCTTTTTTCTATAAAAATAAATTACATGGTTGGTCCCTTCCCTTCCCTAATCCCTACTCTTTTTTTACACTAGAGCTAGAGGTTATTTTACCTTCTCAGGCATAAAATCCAAAAAATGGAGCATACCACGTGGCCCATCTTTGTTTATTACTTCATAAATTTTCTTCATCAGTGATTTCTACAATACTCACTCCTCCATGTTTTCGTCTTTATCCTTTCTTTTTTACTCTTTATCTTTTACAGTAAATTACATTTTTGGTCCCTCTGATTGTATCTCCTTTTAAACTAATTATAGTTTTAGTCATTTTGTTTCACTTTTAATCCCTCAAATTAACTAACTTCTGCTAAATAGGTCCATTAAACTATTATCATCTTTTTCGTATTTGTTTAGTTTTCAATTAAAAACATAAAGAAAATATATTTATTATATATTAAATTATACATACATACATACATATATCACGCCGTGAGTCGCTGGAAGAAAGGATATACCGGACAGGAGTGGTGGTCGAAATGGGTTTAAATATACGTGTTTATGAATAAGGTGAAGGTGTACGGAAATGATCTTATTGGTTGGGTGTAACTGGATGATTCCACGTGGGAGAAGGATGATGAGTTATGCAAAAAATGGCTCCGATAAGGGGTAGTAACGATTTGTTGAGGAGTTTGAAGATGGTGGGATATAGAGTGTGACATTACATTAGGTGAAGTGAAGGTGAGAGGGACCATCATGGTTTATAAATATTAATATTATAATAATAATAATGTATACTATGAATATGATAATAGTAACAATATATTTATTTGATTTAAAGTTAAAAATTAAGTAAATGATGAAAAAGACCAAAATACCCTTGAGTTAATGGACCTATTTAGTATTTAATAGAAGTTAAACCAAAGGACTTACAGTCACCCAAAATCATAATTAATTCAAAAGATTGGCAACCAAAATGTTTTAAATCCATCCGTTTGGCTGGTTTTAAAGTACATGCACACAATTACATAGAGATCTAAATAGAAAAGGTTAAAATACCGTAATAATAAAAAATGAAGGTTAAAGAAAACTCCATACTTATTTCAATTATTGACAAAATATATTTAAATATACATTTATAAACCTACAATATAACATGTAACATCTGCTCTCTCTCACACATATATAATACATCTTTAAATATATCTTTTTTGTATTTTTTTTAATGATTTATGTATGAATTTTGTATTTTTACTTTTGTTTAAATTTGGTCTTAATTTAATAATATTTATAATTAAAATAGTTAATATTTGGAGAGAAAAATAGTATAAAAGTAAAGTTTTTTTTATTAACCTGGATATCCAACCTGTTATACGAGCTGACTAATCCTAGGGTAACCATCTGCTTTGCAGGTAGCCCAAAGTCACCGCATTTGAACCTTCGTAGTCACAAGAAGATTTTTGTTTCTTCTTGGATTTGAACATGAGACCTTCAGATACTTTTGATCTTTGAAGTTAAACTCAAACCAATCATACACCACCCTTGGGGTTATTAAAGTAAAGTTATGACTTATGAGATGAGGTCCAAGATGTAATTAATGGAGTGTATGATCAACTTTAACCTCCGAAACAAGACAAACCGACCATTCTCTGTTCTCTTTCCTTTTCATATCCCTATCTCCTACCACCCTAATTTTGTTGGCCCTATTATCATTTTCTTTTTTTCTTTTTTTATTCCATTAATATATTTAATAAATTTGGATTTTATATATCAAGGAAAGCGACACCCTTTTGAGATGCTCCATCGGCCATAGTATTCATCTCATCATCAACATAAATCAAAACATGATCTATTTGTGTTGCGTAGGTTTGAACCCGACACCTTATATGAATGTTATTATCGTTGGACAATAGAACACATCAATGAAGATGATCTGATAGAGTTTTTAGCATAATGTTGGGTTTTTTTTATTTGATACGTGTGTGTGTATATATATATATATATATATATAGAGACTTGGGGTCATGCGAGATCAAGAGTTTTTCGTGAGACCTGTAAGACCAATTCTCAATCTTTGGATTAGATCTACAAGCTGAACATTCATAATCACAAAATTGCCACTATGTAATTTTAGACCATTAGATCATTAACTTATAAAGTTGATCAATGAACATAAATTGGTTTTACGGGTCTCACGAAAAACCCTTGGTCTCACGTGAATCCAACCATATATATATATATATAGGGGTCCAATCAAGGGAGAACTGATTAGTTTGTGATAACTGTAAGATCCAATCTCAACCACAAATCAAATGATAAATTAAGAAACTAATATTTTTGGTAATTTAACTTAAAGTAATAATTAAAGGACATTTTAGGCATTTTAAAATTTTTATCTCTCCCCTCTCTCTCTCTCTCCTACCTCCGGCCTCCAACGAACACCACATGTTATACCTAAAATACACCAAGATACACAATGTGATACCCAAAATACATAAAATGTGATACCCAAAACATATCACGTAAACTTTGAGATCGTTGTGATATCAACTGTGATACCGTTGTGATACCAACTGTGGTACCATTGTGATACCAACAAGATGACCGTAGGAGGTCATCGGAGTGGTGGTGGATGCCGGAGAAGGCCATCGGATTTGGTCCATGTGTGTCCGTGTGTGTGTATATATATATATATACATATATTAAAATTAATTAAACTAATTAAAGTAAATTGAATAATCAACACAATTTACTAATTTACCCTTTGTTTTATTTTAGTAAATAACATTAATTATTTAAAATGATTGACTCATATTGAACCTCACAGTTATCATAAACTATCTAGTTCTTATTTGATTAAACCCCCCTCTCTCTATCTCTCTCTCTCTCTATATATATATATATATATATATAATGTTTTGGATACAAATATTATCACGTAATTGGATGATTAAAAACACACTTTCATTTAATTTTTATTGCAGGAAACATACTTTTTTTAACGTATACGACTTTATCATCTATAGTTTAAAAAATATTATATTGATATCTTATGGTTTCAAAAGAAATATATATATCTTGAAAAGGGTACTTTCAAAAACATATTACTATTAACCTTATGTATTAAAGACGAAGAATCGTGTGAGAAGAAAAGTTATGGCGGGAAATATAAGAAGAAATCTGAACCCTTGATCACTTTTAATCTCATGTCCATCCATGAATTACACTTTTAAAAAAAATTAATCCAGTACACACACAAACTAACTCATACATTCACGATTCACAAAAAAAAGTATATGATGTATGATATATTTATTTACATATATAGATAGGTTACATTATGTATGTAATAATATAGGGGTAGAATGGGAATTAGGAGCCAAATGACACAAAAAGCACTATCAATGGTCTCAATTCTCCCGTCCCATGTGATTGTGGCTCTCCACTGTTCCCTATTTCAAGCTTAATGTCCAATTTCAAAATCTATCAATAAATTATATTAAGTTAATTATATTTTTCAAGAGGCTAACTAATTAACTAATTAATATTTTTATATTACTATTTATAAAGACCTTCATTAAATACAAAAAATGAAAATGAAAATGAAAATTGTGTTTGTTATCTAAGCGTTTACAGGTAAGATTTAACACTTTTTTTTTGTCTTACCAGATAAAATTCTCTGCCATCAAAATGACATCGTATACAGCAAATTACTCAGTAAACGCTACCTGGATAAAAGTCGTGATGCTTACTTACAAGACAAGATTCTCAGCCATTGTCATTGCTCTCATGGGTAAAATTCTCAGTACTTTATGTGTTCATCGGTAAGGTAAATGACCCGGTAAACACTTATCGGATAAGCATTCAGTAAACGGCCTCTTTATTATCAAATATAAGATTCTCGATCATTCTCTCGCTCTTATCAGGTAAAATTCTCAATATTTTTCATCAGTATGGTAAGTCATCCGGTAAGCACTTACCGGATAAACATTCAGTAAACGGATATAACATTTTTATAACATTTTTACCGGATATAACATTTTTATTTGAATATTTTCAACAATGCTATATTCTATTAAACATTTTCTATACAATTTGTAATTAATAGATATATATTAAATATTATAACAAAAATAGAGTTTATAGGACATAAAAATGTCTAAATATTATAATAGACTGTTTTATAAGACATAAATTTACAGATTCAAACAATTGTATGTCATATATAAAAGTATTACGATTAGTTTATAAGAAGTTTTTGGGCGTCTTAACAATTTTTTTGACACTTATAAAATAAAGTGTCGTCGTATTAGTTTTTTTATACGACACTTTTGAAAAATGTCCTATAAATATATATTTTTCTATGATTCAAATTTTCAAATGATATTATATAAAATAAATTAATAGGACGCTTTAATTTGAAACTATCCTAAGAAAACTTGTTAAAACACAGGGACGGACCCAAAATTTTTTTTTTCAAACAGTGACATCGTTTGACTATAAGAAACAAATGTGCGAATTTTTTTCAAACGTTGACACCATTTGACTGAGAAAATGGTACGAACATGATTCGAACTTGGGTCTGGGGTGGAATAAAAAAGTTTTGCAAACCAACTCTACCAAATAAAATTTGTTCTCATTATAGTTTCAAATATATACGGTGACACATAACAGATTAATACGGTTGCATCTTTTACGAAACTAACATTTTTAACCCTTCAACGGAGGAATAATACGGTGGCACGTGCCACCATATGCATCACTATAGGTCCGTCCCTGCTAAAATATCCAAAAAAATCCTATAAATTTATCGTAACACTTTTACATAAGACAATTTTGAAACAGTTTATTACACTCGAACACTTTTGACGTCTTTATAAACCCATTTAAACACTTTTGAAATCCTATAAACCCAATTCTATAGTAAATATAAAATTCACGCATCATCACCTTTTTTTACCCAACGTTTGATAACAAAAAAAATATAAGAACGTTTAAAATGATATTCACATTACTCGAGTATGTATATATGCATGAATATATGTATGTATATGTATATGTATATGTACATGTACATGTATACATGTACATGTATATGAATATGAATATAAATATATGTATCTATCTATATGTATATATTGAGGGGTCAATTCTCCTCACCACCCTATAGTACATTTCACTGGTGTTCACCCTTCAATCTTCACTTCATTTCTACATGATATATATCTATATATATTATATATCTATATATATATATATATATATATATATATATAGCAATCAAGGTTCCTTTAACCATTGAACAAAAACTGATCAATTGGGTTTGAACCATGTTACGATCTGGTGGTTCGATGGTGCAAAACCCTGGATCTTCACAACCCGACCCTTTAAACTGCCCACGATGCGAATCAACAAACACCAAGTTCTGTTACTACAACAATTACAACAAAACCCAACCTCGATACTTTTGCAAAGCTTGTAAGCGTCATTGGACCAAAGGTGGCACTCTTCGTACTGTCCCCATTGGCGGTGGGCGGAAAAACAAGCGTCTTAGACGGCCTACGAGAGCCACCATCACCGCCACAACCGCCGCTAGGATCATCAACAACCCCTCTAAAGATCAGAAGAATAGTCTTCTCCCACTCGATGCTGATCATAAAGTGTCCTTCTTCAAACCAATTACCGACAGTGACAGGAGAGATGATGAAGAATTATACACCAATATCGAAGAATTAAAGGGTTTGGTTTCTTGGGATTTTTATGGAGGTTTTATAGGTTGTACGATGATGCAACAGTCGTTAGATCATGGAGATGATCATCATCCAATATTAGGGTTCTCCAAGCTCTCAGACGCAAACCCTAGTTCAAGATCGTTATTGGAAAAGATGGAAAACGATGAGGATTCGACGGTTACACCAAGAAGCAATTTGTTGGAGCAAAGCAATTGCAATTGGAACTGGAACTGGAATGATCTTGACACCATGGTTCTAGAAGATCTGAATAAGCCCTGGGAAGACCCAGAATTCAAAACCTAATTTGAGGTGACATTGTATCAAGAAAGTTAATCTTTCTTATGTTTATCTTGATCGATCTGATCTTGTTCTAGGGTTTCCTTTTCTACTATTTCTTAATTTTATTAAGCATATATATATTATATTCCAATCTAACTATACGACAAAACATCTTTTCTATCATCCTTAAAATTTAATATTTTTTTGCATTCAGCACAAATTATGGCTATATTGTTAAGACTTTCAACACCTTTATAAAGTGGCTTTTAAGTTTATATAACCAATAACTTATTTTTATTATAACACAAATTAAGTTGTTGATCATATAAACTATATATGAAACCCGTTAAATATTTTATCATGACGACGTATACTAGGCACCGTGTTATAAGTTATAACCCACCCATTTTGTACTTTGTAGTGTGAAAATCTTGGTATATATTGAATCTTTGATCAATCAAGCAAGCTTATGAGGTTCATCACATACATACATACATTTAAACAATATAATTTGATATGTAATATGGATTGGATTGATTTGATGATAATGGATGGTGATAAATTAATGAAGTAGGAGGGAGGGAGGGAGGGAGGGAGATGCATCTGAGGGACATTGTGATCCACCTCAATTGTTTGAGTTGATGCAAAGATTAGATGGAAGATTCTCTTCAATTAATGTCCTATTCTTGTTTGTGTCAAAATGGAACTTTGTGGGCCGGGCCAATCATACAATTATCTATTCAATTACTTGCACAAATATTAAAATTATTATCATATTTTTTTACTTTTATTGTAAGAAAATTAATATTGAAAATACTTTTCCTTTCTATGTCATTTTTCACATGTTTTATCTTTATCTTTATCTTTATCTTTGTCTTTGTTGTATATTTTATGGTTACAATATTTACATAATTCATTCTCTAAATAATTAATCAACAACTGAGGTCTCTATGGTTGTTACATCAAGGACAAGATACGTTGCGTTTTCAACAAAGATCGAGATAATGACCGTTAACCACAAGAACGGAACATGTAATTTCCTCTTTTCTTTTTGTTTTGTAACAAAACTACAAGAATATAAAAAGAGTATTTGAAATCTTTAGGTTGTTTGGTTTATAGGACTTAGAATGAAATTGAATTCCATTATTTACAAAAAAGTTATAATGTCTTTATAAATAATTATAAAAATAGTTAAATTACCTTCTTATTAATTAATTATTACAAAACACATGTTTTTAACATATTTTAAACCATTATTATATTGAAATCCCATGAGATTTTAAAATTCTCCCAAGGATTTCAATGAAATTCAAGGATTTCAAATCCATAAAATCATTTAAATCAAACATGAGATTAAAATGAAATTCAATTTCAAATATCTTTAAATCCAATCCCATAAATCAGGTTTTTGGACCAGAGGATGTGGAATATAAACGACCCTCAAAATGATTAACATATATTTTCAATTTTCTCACCTTAAGATAGACAAATGTGAGAGAGATGCCCTTGGATCTAAATTCTATAGTTTAACCCTGGTTTTCAATTTTTTTAACATATATAATATTACAACAAAATTTGTTTAATAGAACGTTTAAAATGTCTAAACGTCCTAATAAATTATTTTATAAAATTTAAAGTTATAGAACTAAAATATAAAACGTTTTATCTAAAAACATTACAATAGGTGTTTTAACAAGTTTTTAAATAGAATGTTCTATTAGCCATTTTATAAGACACTTTGGAGAAGTGTCCTATAAACCTATCTTTTATATGATATTTGTATTATACGAAACTTTTTAAATAGTATCGTATAAAATAGCTAATACAATATTTTACTTTAAAAGCGTCTTAAAAAACTTATAAAAATACCTAAAAACATCCTACAACTATTACAACAACAAAAAGAGGTTTATAAGACTATATTTTAGAAGCCTCCTACAAAAGACATAATAGGAGTATAGGCCACTTTGATTTATTTTGTTCTTATTGATATAAGAGTAAACTATAATTTTTGCCCCTACGGTTTGATGTTTATAACAATTTTCGTCCATGGTATTTGAAAACTGCTTTTTTTGTCCCCATGGTTTCCATTTCGTTTCTCTTTTCATCCCCAAGTCTAACTCTGTTAAAAAAGTAGTTGGGTGAAGGGTATTTTTGTCTTTTTATTTGTTTTTGCTTTTCTTTAAATTTTTATTGAAATAATAGGGTTCAAGATTGAAACACCCTTATCTTCGGACTAATATTTTTGGCAAAAATTCGGCATATAACCCATTCATAAATTCATGTTTTGCTAATTTTATAACCTGTATACATTTATATATCACGATTTCCCAAAAGTTTGTGTACAAAACCACATAACAGGGAAAATCTAAGTTTATACGAGTATTTACAAAGGCAAAAATGATACAATTTCTTCCAAAATACTATTTGCAACTAATCATCGTCATAAAATAAATATCGCACAAAATATCATCCACCTCTATGAAGTACTAGCTTTCTTTACCCCTAGAATTACCTTCTACACCTGGTTCTAATACATCTAATTGTAAAGGTAGAGACCCCATTACAAACGCAACAAAGGAGGTGACCTTAAGTTGTTAGATCCGGATCTCTATATGTCAATTCAGTGAGAAAACAAATAGTTCACAATACCTCATTTATACATAGTGTATTTCATCAAAATTTAAGTCAATAGCATGGTATTAAAACATCAAACAATGTTCCACATAGTGTTACATAATGATTTAGCATGCTTCTTTCACCTTAAAATTCACTTTGTATAAAACATTAAATAACCACATTTCATTACAGTCATTTAGATCATGCATTTTTAAGGACACATATTCAAACGTAAATGAAATGAATCAGTTATGTAAAATACATATGTTTGACGTACCGAGTTTTAAGACTAGTTGAACTTACCTTTGATATATTAAGTTTAATCTAGTTTTCAACCCGACTTGCACATTCATCTTACTATCTAGGTGATGTGCTGGAATCGTAAGTGTTCACACAATGGGCACAAAGTCCCCACAGTGGCGGTGCAAGTGCACGCCGACACTATGATCGCTTCAAGTAATAGAGTGGTATAGTACCAAGATCTTTTCCACAGGGACTGAACTACTGAGAATCAGACTTCTTGAACATGTTTCGGTTTGAGAATAAAAGTTGAGTTTTGTTGATGCAAAGCTTTAAAATATGAGATAAACCTTTTAAAGTTAAAAGATGGGTATGGTTGTAAGTTTCCTTTAAGAAGATTGTAGAACAGTATGGTTAGAAACTCATGGGACTTCTATAAAAACTCCAATATCTCGAAAGTGAATTCTTATATACTGTGCCCACAGAGTGCCTACAAAGCGTCCAGTTTTATTAGTTTTAAACTTGCCGAATTAGCTAATAGATAAAAAGATATCTGGTTCACTAGCCTGAAGATTTATACTCAAATCTCTTTGTAGTATAAACTCGACTAAAATCTGAACATTAGCTAAAATCATGCAGAATCCGTATCTCTACGTGATTATCAAAGACTCTCAAAGCTTTGTGCATCACTTAAGCCGTATTTCAAATCCGCCCATCTCTGGATCAAAGATCTAATATTAACACTTCAAAGTGATCGGCTTATCTGTGTTGAGGTTAAGTCCCGACTTAAATGACCAAACTTAAGAATTAATAAAAATGGCAACACCCAAGTGTGCCTTCAAATTCTTATCAGTTCCACTTAACTTGAAAGACAAAAGAGAGCCTCCACTAATGTCACAAGGATGCAAGTACAGTGGATCTCCAAAGTCTAATTTTGTGACTTTGGATTCCATTGGACTTATAGTTCAACTGGTGGAGAAGCCATGAAAAACAAAAAAACACACAACCAAGGAACTGGATAGATATAAGCAGCATTCCTAAAACATTGTAATCGTGCTAGGTCAAGCTAACTATTCAGATTCCCAAAACAGGAAGAAAGAAAAGGAGAACACATAGAAAGAGAGAAACAAGGGAACACAACAAGCTTTACCACAAATTCCTTTAACAATTGTTAAAAGAGAGAACAAGAAAAGAGCCACCTGCAAACATCAACAAAAAAAACCAACCACAACGGCCTTTTAACTTTTGTTAAAAGGAAATGAGATTTCTGATTAAAGGATCCAGGAACCACCTGAACAAACAACAAGTATTAAGAACCAAGATATATGCCAGATCTAGAAGGACACAGATTTTGACACGAAAAAGAACAATATCATATATTAAGAACATATATATGTATCCAACCAAGATATAAACATATCTGGAATAAGGACACAGATCTGGAAGGACATGCACAACAGATCCAAACAATCAAGGAAAAGAAAGACAGATCATGAAGGGGGACCACAGTAGATCCAAGAGATCAAACAGGTACTCATACCTATCGATCATATCATTCAATGTAGCGAACAACCAGAACCACACAAATCTAGAAGAAACAAACAAGAAAGATACCTCGAAACATAAGCCAGATCTGGAATGACACAGATCTTGATGAGAAAAAGAAAACAATATCAGATCCAAGCTAACAAATATATGTATTCAACCAAGATATAAAAAGATATGGAATAAGGACACAGATCTGGAAGGATATGTACAAACAAATCCAAACAAACAAGAACGAAACAGATCACGTAAGGGGACCACAACAGATCTAAAAGATCTAACAGGTACATTACCCAATCGATCATATCATTCAAGGTTAACAAAGAAACAAAGACGAGAATCAAATATCATGGTGGGAAACCGGTAGTCGAGATCTTACGAGCTCGTAAACCGAGAAAACCCTAACCATTCATCTACTCAATTTAAAAAAAAACAGACAAGAACAAAATCAAAGAGATTTTTAAGAGAAATTGTATTTGAATGCTCTGATACCATGTTAAAAACTAAGCATCTTTGAAAAATCATCTTATTACAAATATACAAACATATAAGAACTAGAATATAGATTATAACCTATTGACTTAACTAAATCTGAACTATATAAGAACAATACAAATCTGTATACAAAGAAAAATGTAGAGAGAGTAAGATCATAGTGAGAGAGAGAACAAGAGCTAAAAGGAGCTCTCTTGAAAATAGACTTGAGAAAAATGTGAGCCATATCATCAAAATAAGGGGTTTTTATATCTTTCAGAATTTGCAACTTTGGTCCCTGAAGAATTCAGTTCCAGACTCCGCTATCCTTTGAGAATCCCAAGAAGTGAGGCGCAATCCCTCTTCTATTTGACTAGCAAGACTTTTCACATTTAACATTTTCTACCCCAACTTGTTAACACTCTGTCAAAATAAGGACAAAAGAGTTAAGTTAGTCAAGATTGGAATAGAGATAATTTTAACACTTTTTAATGTTGTGGTAACTGAAAACACAGGATTTCTACCCGAAGGTGTAAGCTAAAGTTTCAACCTTTGTTGGTCACGGTAATGTTTCCTCGACACATAACAACACCTTTTTCTCCTTGTTATAAGTCATACTAGTGTTCCAATGCAAATATCATTTTGTCTCAATGTTGTCATGTACGATCAGTTTTACCTTCTGCCATTAAAGATCCTGTTGAATTTTGCAACCACAAATACTGAACTGCCCATGAAATGGGTAATATACTGTTATGTTATGTGCCACCTAAAATATTCTTTGAATAAGCGTTATGAGAGAGATAAAATATTCTTGAATAACTTGCGGTACAAGAACCATTAATAATTTTGAAAGCCACATAACTAGTTTTTAGTGTATAGTCATTATTGAATACACATATTGAGAGAGTAAAAATATAAGTAAATATATTCATAGATGAATATAAAGTATATATATTCATTGACAATATACATACTTTAATTAAATTTATATATATATATATATATATGATATAAAATCAAATTTCATATTTCTAAAAAAGATAGAGTAATTTTTTGGACTTTAATTGCAAAAAATACGATAAGTGGTTCTTTCTTGGTGTATATATGCATACGAATGATATACGATCATTTATGACATATTCATTCACGATTACAAGAATATTATGACAATGTGATATGTATGTTTTTCTTTAGTTGAACTTATGACCTCACGGATGAAGAGGGATTCAAACCCCCCCCCCCCCCCCCCCGGGTGTTACTATCAATACTTCCGTTTTCAAGACCGACTCTTTCAACCGCTAAGACATTCATCCCCTTCTCGCTTCCCCGCGCGCAGATTTGGAACCCTATATACAAGGGGCTGGTCTCCATCTCGCATTTTTTGGTAAGAATCTCTACAGTAATGAATGGATCAGCAGCCTTAACATGCTCTAATTAGTTATGAAATAACTGATGTCCTAGAAGACTGAACTCTACTATTAACCGAGATACTTCCTAACTAAAGGTCTTTTAGTTATTTTGAACCAATTTACTGATATAAAAGTACCCAATAAATTCATAATTTCTCAGAAAAAAACACAATTTCAACTATAAATGTAAAATACAAAGGGAAAGCATATGAGAATGTTGTATAACAAATTAAATCTATGAATAAAAATTAACAAAGGCATCAAAAGTTTCAGTTGAATGCTCCCATTCTTATGCCGGTATCTCTCGTAGGGATCACACCTTCATCGGATTTCGAATAGAAAACGTAGTAAAGCTCGGAGACGATACCCGTGAAAACCACGAATGCAGCCCCCGCACCAAACACACCTTTCCTCAGGGTCTCACACGAAGGAGGGTTAGCCGAGAGTACGCTCCTGTACTTTGTGTGATACGCATTTCTCACCGAACCAGCAAGCAAGCAGGCCTCAGCAATGATGAATGTCACCCTAATCAAAATAGATACACAACACAAAATTATAAAAATTGGAAACAAGTAAAATAAAAGCATACAAACCCAGTAAATCTCATGCAGCGATAAGGTACGGTTAAGAGGCGGATCCATAAATTATTCTCGATGGTGACACAATTTGACTATAAAAACGAACATGTTGAAATATTTCACAATATTTGTATAGATTGGCTGGTTGGTTCCTTGTCCTCGCACAAAAGAGACCCATGTTCGAGTCTAGGCTATAATTTTATTTCTAGAACTTATAAAGAACACCAAAATTTAAGGTGAAAACTAAAAAATTTGACATTAGTGCGACTCGAACCCGGGGTTTTCGTACAAAGTGAGGAACATTTACCAACTCTGCCATTAAAGACTTGCGCGAGAGCTTTAGTTTCAAAAACTATATGGTGCCACTGACACCCAACATAACAATACAGGACCCCTTTCAGAAACATAAATTTTTCCCCTTACGATGGAACCATGAAGCGGTGGCCTGTGCCACCGTCTGGGCCTACCGCCCCTGGTCCAGATACCATGCCAAGAGTCTAACAAAATCAAACCAAACAGACCCAGTAAACCTCACGCAGAGGTAGGGTCTGGGGACCATGCTAACAGTCTAACCAAATCAAACCAAATAGACCCGGTAAATCTCACAGGTTTTCTTTTCGTAAATGTAATTAATTTGAATTCAGAAGTCTAAGGATGCCTTTTTTAGGTACCAGCAAGGCCATGAATGTAACTTACCAGCAGGTAATGAATAAGAAGACAGCTAATGCCCTCGAACGGCCAGGGCTCAGGGCTCGCCCACAACACATGCAACGGGTTGCAACCATCACAAGGAGTTGGCTTACAAGAAGGAATAACAGCGCACCCACACCCATCCCTGTTGCTATATCAGATTCATAAACACAATACCTAGAATTTGCATCTTGAGCAATCCGAGCCTGTTGTACAACAAAAATGATGCATCATGGTGCTATCCTAAGATCTCGAAGTAACACAACTTCAACTCCCATACAATTTAAGATATTATTGTAGAATCATGGTGCAAGTATTTTTGCACTACTTCCATATAAACAAAAAGAACAAACACAGCCCAACATATCCCACGCAGAGGTGGGGTCTAGGAGAGGCAATGACTAACTTCAGGAACCTTTTGAGCTAAAGAACTCAAATGGTCAATGCACATTATGAATTTTCTACTTTTGAATTCTTAAACTTAATAATGGATTATTAGATATATTAAACAAGAAATTGAGCAAAAATAATACGAATTAGTCTTCCAAAATACCCATATGATGCATTTACTACTAAGCATATACTTCATGTATAACTTCTACAAGTCAAATGATGCAGCTTTTAGATTCAAATAATATACATATAAAACAAACCATCTTAGTTTTCCGGAAGTATGGATCGTTCATCTATAAACATGATGTTCCAACCGAAGTATTCTACCATAAGAATCGTGAAGAGTAAAAGCCGATTTTGAATTTGAAATCTTTGACTTTTTGAATTTTGAATTTTGAAAATTAATACATGTTAAGCAACAATTTCAGCAAAAGCAACTCTAGTTATTCTTCCATAAGACTAATTTTAACCTTCCATATGATAAAATCTGAAATACCCACATCAAGAATTTACTAATCCAATTGTGTGATAAACATACCCTCCCAAAATTGGGATCAATGTTTGACTTCTACAAGTCAAATGAATTATGTTTTCAACTTAAGAATTGATCAGAATTCTCTTGGTCATTGAGAAGGAAATGATTACTACATTAATCTACAAACATAAATAATTTATACAAGAAAGATTTTGAGCCAAAAAAACCTCAAAGGTCAATGCAGAATTTGAAAAGGGGAAGTTTTACTTTTGGGGTTTCTAAATTACAAGTGGACTCCTACTGATATTAAACAAGAAATTGAGCAAAAACACCAGCAAATGTTCTTCCATATCATCAAATTAATGATCCAAATGATGAAACCTGGAATACCCCTACAAAGCATTTACTGTAACTGTCATACATCCCTCCTTCCAGGGCTAAATTCTACCTTTGACTTTTAAGAGTCAGAGGAATTGGTGTTTAACATCAAAATTGACAAGGATTGGCTTAAACATTGAGGAGGAGAAGATTACTTCATTAATCTAGAGAAACGATTTCTGATAATAGAACACACTTTACGATGATAATTTAAAAGAAAACTCAAGTGCCTAATGTAGATTTTGAATTTGAGAAGTTTTACTTTCGATTTTCAAACTAAAAATGGGATAAACAAGAAATTAAGCAAAAATAGCACTAAATCAACAAGATCCCGTAAGAATACATACGCAGAGATTATAGAGATCGAACTTACAGAAGCTCTCCTTTGCTCGGCGGCAACAGCAAGTGCAAAAGCAACGAGATCGAAAACAAATACAACAACCAATAGCAATGTGGAAGCCATTGGAATCAGAGGGTGGAGATTCTGAAATTAAGTTGAGGTATGAGAGGGTTTTCTTAGCAAGTAATCAAAGCGTTACAAAAATGGAGATGGGTTTGTTTAAAAAAGAAGCTTCTTTATGGCAAAGTAGCATGGATGCTTTCATATCTTTTCTTGCTTTTTTTCTGCCACGCATCATGTTGGAGGTGGAATTTAAAAGGAAAAGGGAAAAAAAAGTGTGGAGCAGTGGATCCATCCATTTTTAAAGTAGAAAAATTTACCAACAATAGGTAAGAATAAGAGGTCTCATTAGATTAATTATTTTTGATTGGAGTAAGAGGTCGTTTATCGAACATTTACATGGTAAACAATTACCGGTAAAATTTAATACTATCTTTACTTATCGGGTAAGATTTTAATCCACTAAAACGGTACCATATGCAACATTTTACCCGATAAGCGCTTACCGTGGTAAGAGTTATCGCCCTCACTTATTGGGTAAGACTCTTGATCCTTGTCTCGTTCTTACTGGGTAAGATTCTTGGTCCTTACCATATTCATCCGGTAARRKAATGTGACTTGGTGTTCACTTACCCGAGTAAGTGTTTGGTAAACGACCCCTAAGTGTTATTTGTAAAAAGGCTATTTACCAAGTATTTTGGATTTGGTGCGGACTAATAAAAAAATGACCATTATAACTCTATTTGTGATAAAATATTTAAACTAATGCAACTATATACCAAATATCATTAATGAGTAATTGTTAAAATGACAAAAATACAAATTTCATAATTGAGATATATTTAGACAAGAAAATAAAATGAATTTAAACATAATAAGTGCCACACAAATCTTAATTTGAAACATTAGATAATAACTGATTTGCAATCTGATCATGCAAACCACTTATATTCACTGTCTTGAGAACTCCACTGCATTTCATCGACTTGTATTTTATTGCTTCCTTCATGTTGTTCTTCCGCGGCGGTAAACATGGTGTTCTCATCGTGTTCCATGAATAATTGATGTTGGATATTGTATTTCCTTATAAAGTTATGAATCGCGAAACAAACAATTACCATATCTTTCTGTATTGGAAAAGAATAAGGAGTCATCTGATTCAGGATTGAAAATCTTGCTTTTAAGACACCATACGCACGCTCAATAACATTTCTAAGTTATGCATGAGCATGATTGAAGACTTCTTCTTTTGTTAATGCATGTCTACGTCGAAAACCTACAAACCAGTACCTCGTATTGCGATACAGAGTCATAAATCAACGGGTACAATTATATATGGTATCACAAAGATAATATTCATTTGTAATTACATCTACAACTTAAAAAACATGGATTAATAATAATTTTTTAATGTTAAGAAAATTATACTTACTTAACGAAGGAAACGGAAATCTCGAAGTTGGTTTAAATGCAACTTCCCTCAAAACTCTAGAATCATGTGCAATGCCTTCTAATCCAGCCTATGCAAACATGCATATCATATTAAAATCACAAATGGCTAAAACTTTTGGTAGCATTCCCCTCTTCCTCTTCCTTTATACCTTGTTTGTTGATCACTAGGCACAACTGCATGTATCAGGGTTCCATCTAGTGCACCTATAGCCCCCTTTAAAAGACATCAACTGTAAGAAACATGTAAAAATATCAAAAATGTTTAGAAATTATCAAATCAGTAACATAAATCATATCAAAAATATTCCTTTGAGGTGCCTAAATCTCTCTGATGTATTTGGTGTTCCATCAATCGATGTTAGCCCTACTACCTCTCTCGCGAATTCCATCATTCCTCTCAATACCTCATGAAAATAATTATAAATAGTTGTTGATCCCAAATCTCTCAATATAACCCGAAGATTTATGTTTAAGAAACCTAAATCTATCGTATGAATGAAGAATAGTGAAGAACAGCTTAAAGAATATTCAAGAGAATATGAAGCTTCAATGAATTTCACTATAATAACTTTGACGAGAAGAAAAATGATTATTTACAAGACATATGATAGCTATTTATACTATCAATCTAGTCTAAGAGATAACAATCTAGTTAAAGATATATATGAGATATTCTAAGGATAAGATATCTATCTAAGATTTGGGAGTTATCTCTAACTACCTTGTGTAACCGATTCCAGCTGTCGATGAGTCATCTCCAGCTGTCTTCTAGGTAGTATGTTCAACCAGGAGTCTTTACGTATCCTCTTTGCTTGGATGTCTTTGATTGAACTGTTGTTGAATCTTCTAAGTGTTTATAACCAAAGGAGTGATGGAGATGTATTGTTCATCGCACCTATGGACCATTCATAGCATCTCTGGTTCGTCTTGAACACTTGGGTCTTTCTCCAGCTCTTCTTCCATCGATCCTCTGAACTTCCATACTTGTACATTTTTCATTACTTTTACAATAAGAATTATGGGGTCTAACAATAGTTCGTGTAGAATGTTGAAATCTACGTTTAACCATTCTAAAGCGTTCATTGTGAGCAACAATTGTCAAAAACATCGTCATCTTCTCTTCAACACTTATTTGCCTACTTGATTGCAACCAAATTTTTTTGTTTAAAATGGTTGCATAGCATTATAAAGGCATCACGAGATTAACGCATCAATTCATGACATTGGGTATTGGATCCACTTACGCATGGCAACGAGGCGGGGATGGGGCGGGTTTTGTAATCCCCGTCCCCGGCCCCGGTTTGTGGTAACGTCCCCCGGCCCCGGTCCCCAACGGGTACGAGGATTATTATCCCGTCCCCGGTTAAATCTCTAGCAATCCCCGGTCAAAACCCGGTAAAACCCCGGTCAATACCCGATCAAACCTCGTAAACAGTATCCTTTATTTTGATTATACTAGGGATCCCCGGTCCCGTCCCCGGTTTGAGTAACATCCTCTGTCCCCAGGCCCGTCCCCGGTTTGTGTCTACCGGGGATCCCCGGCCCCGGGACCCGTTTTAGCGGGGAATCCCCGTCCCCGTTCGGGTCGGGTGAACCGAGTTCCCCACCGGGTCGGGGAAAATCACCATCCCTAGATCCACTTAATAATTCTTGTGTATATGCATGTGTAGTGAGAACTGAAGTGTTACCTGCCACCCTTTCTATCCGTGTTGAAGCTATTCTTCTCAAATACCAATACATAATAAGCACAATAATAATAATTTCATTTTCATCCATGTATGACTTTGCAAATATAAAACACAAAATAACATCACCTTATGCTTCAAAGATATCATAAATATAACATCAAGTTTAAACAACTAATACAAAAAAATGAAAACATCAACTTGAAACAAACATTCCGTCAAATTGAAATAGTCATTTATTCATATTATATCACTCATAATACCATCCATAAAAAACATCCTAAAAACGATCGTCTAAAAAAGATTGTTCAAAACAAAACAAAACATCACCAAACTAAAATAGACCGAGCTTACCACCTGTAAATTTAACCCACCCCTCACACCTCTCCTTACTCAAGCGTAACCGAAGTTTCCTATAGTCGGTGTTTTGGCTGAATATGTGAAGTGCTATGTCATACAATGCAGTTTGCTCCCATCCAAGTGTTTCCAACAAAATTATGATTCTTTTGTAGCACTTCTGCTACATTCTTCCAAGAAATTGCCTTAAGGCTACCCATTCTCGTCCATTCACATAAATCTCATGCAAACAAGACTCGAATAAATGTTTTCACCACATTTTTTTTCCAGTTAACTCTAGGATTTTTTGATTGTAAAGATTCGCCAAAGTTTGTCATATCTAAAACATTAACCATCATATCGTGATTAGTTAAAAGGTGCATGGTCTTGTAATCCAAATAATTAAAGGTTGTTTGCTTCATTGAGGAATGAAAAAAGAGAATGAAAAGGTACATAAATCACGCAAAAACCTTGAAAATGTGAACACTACCGATTACTGTTAGTTCCCCATAAGAAAACTATATGTGTTACTGTTAGTTCCCCATAAGAAAACTGGATAGAGTTGAAATGGAACGACAGAAATCAATAATGAAAATCCTGATGAAGAAGATAAAAACAGAAAGAGAGCCTACACTTCGTATTTCTTATTCACAATTGTTAAGCAGTATCACAATCTAATATGCAAATGCCATAAAATCTTGTGCTCTGGACATGGATCTCAATGATTTTAATCATGGTGATCTAACAGAATTAGGCCAAAGGGGACTCAATATGAGCGATGATTAGAAGTAGAGGATTTAACTCTCCCAGGCAGTCTACAATGATGCATATATGTATATATATATGTATATATATATATATATATATATATATATATATATATATATATATATATATATATCTTCTTGATGACCCTTTCAGTGCCGTAGATGCACACACAGCAGCAACTCTCTTTAATGTTAGATTTTCTCATTGTGATTAGTTTGCANATATATATGTATATATATATATATATATATATATATATATATATATATATATCTTCTTGATGACCCTTTCAGTGCCGTAGATGCACACAACAACAACTCTCTTTAATGTTACTCTCTCATTTTGATTAGTTTGCATTTGGTTTCTCTTTTTGGTCATTACATGTGAATTATTTGACTTCAGGATTGTGTTAGGACTGCTTTAAGGATGAAGATGATCATTCTTGTCATACATCAAATGGAGTTTCTCTCAAAGGTTGGCAATATTCTGGTAACGAGAGGATAATCAAAGTTCTTTTTAGCCCATTTTTAATCATGAGATTCTAGAATAGTTTAGTTGTTGTCTTATATTTTTTCTATTATTGATTAACCGTGAATAGTTTCAAACTTCTTTGTCAAATCAGCTAAACCAAAAATCAATATAGCCAAAACTCACGAAGAGGAAAATGTTAAATCAAAGATGACAATTGATAAAATAGAAAAAAAATAAGGATCTTGAATATACAACTGAAAAGTTGGAATTTCAGTCTCGACGTCGACGATATTGAATTTTGGTTCTTGGTCACTTATTTGTAGCAACGACTAATCAGAAGTCATCGTTACGTCGAGCCGAAGAACATATGACATATATCTTCAAGATTTCATGGATGCATTATCTTTCTTGGTTTATAATTATTTGCAAATGTTAAACTTGAACTAGCTTTCTACCCATGTCTTCAGTCAAAAATTCTATAAGTTGTAAACTAGTTCGGACACATGATGGAA